CTACCCTGAAATAACTATATTTTTGGCACACCTCATGCTGTCCTCTTGTGTGCATCTGAGTCCTTCTGGGGACGCTACAGCCACGAAGGTGACCACCACCTCACAGGAGAGTTTACCAAGGCCAATTAAAAAAGCACCTCCCCATCTCTCCTCCACCTTTCCTTCCTACATGGAGCCAATTCTTCTCCTCCAAAAGTCACCGGCTGTTCTGAGCACACCACAAGCTGCTCAGAACAATTTCTGGCTCCTCTCTGTGTCTTTGGAAAGTACCTGCTTTATCACTGGCTGTTTCTGCAAATAGATCTATACCAAGTCATGTGGCTTTGCTTATTTGGCTTCAGGTTTTCTGCCTACACAGCAGATTTGGGCTCCCATCTCAAAGGTAAAGGCAGATGGTACTGTCCACCCTGTCATAGCAGGAGTTCAGTTATTCTTCAGCAAAGCATGGAAAAAGTGTGCAGTTTCCCAAATGCTAGGATTCTGCAGAGCCTGCACACAGGATGAAACACTCTTGTAAGGTATTACCCTATGATGCTTAAGCAAAGCTCTGTCACAATGTCACCCAACTAATATCCAAGTGAAAGGGGAGCTGCTTATGCCAGCATTGATTCATGACCAATGAAAGGGCATAGCATGCTGCTGCCTGTGATCAGGAAGTGTAGCCAGCAGGTTTTGCTTGTACATGCCCACTCCCAACCCAAAGGGAGGAAACCTGCTGTTTCATTATTGTCTATCAGTAATGACAAGCACTGGGCACAGTGAGTTTCCACCTTTGTGCTGCATTGCAAGCATTAACATTGGCGAGACTCCTATCTGATAATTGCAGTCCATTTACCAGCCCTGTTTGATACATGTGGAAGCCAATGAAGAAAGATGAAGTGACACATGCAGTGCTCCCAACAAAAGATCCCTTTAAAGCTAGGTGCTCTGGGTGGCTGGAACTAGACCCTGGTCACCGAAATCCAACCAGATACAGCACCCAGTAGATGATGCTGCCATGTCCCATGCTCTCCTCTCCCTTCCATGCCCCAACTCATTTCTGACAGTTTTCCTCATCCTCTTCTAAAAACAGGTATATGTTTTTCTACATAACCGGTTGCATTGTTTTGTTTGTTTGTTTGTTTTTTTTTAATTTCTTTTTTTTTCTGGCATCACCCCAAAACCCAGGACTATGTCTGAGGAACCAGGTTTCCAGCAGATACTGCAGAGACTAGAGGATTTCAAGGTTGTTCCTGAAGCCTCTGTTATCAGTGAGATTTGCAAGGCTGGGCCATACCACACTGTGCTGAGAATACAAAGCCAGAAATGAAAGAGGAAAGAACAGCTTGTGTGAGAAGCCTTTTACTCAAAAGGAGGGAGTGAGCCACAGTGAATGCCATCAACACATCAGTGTTGTGAAATCCTGAGGTCACCAATTATCCTGGCCATGGGGTAAGGGATGAGCAGAACAGGCAGGACCATAGTCTGGTGCACCTGCAGGTACGTTCCCAACTGCTCCAAAAGAAGAGAGCTCCTGGGTAAAACAGCCTAATGACCATTATTTCCAGGAACACAAGTAACTTATCTGTAAACATCACTCCCCCAAACAGGCATTAGTGTGTGTGGGGGGGGGGGGAAGGGGTCTTTGGAGAGACGGACTAATTATATAGCACTCAACAGCTGGACTTTGATCATAATTACAGTGCCTTCTTCATCTTACATTAGTGGCTTTCAGCTGTAGATAGGTGGGCACTTTGTGGAAGGTGGAAATCCTGTCAGTTTCAGAGAGCTAGCTCATTTTGTGACTCGGAGGTAGCACAGGATGAGCTCCCATGGTACTATCCAAACAAGTAACTCATGGGGGTCAGTGACTTTAACACTTCAGTATAGGTGCTTCTGTCCCTACAGCAGCACCTTCCCAGGCTCAGGAGCCAAAGCACTGAGCATACTTAAGCACTGATTTCAAGCATTTCATGCAAATCTCTTTATAGGAGAAGCAGAAGCAGAAAAACTTTGAGGGTTTTGCTCAACTCTGTTATTGCTGAATTTTAGCATCTCATCTCTCTCTGTTTAGGAAGAAAAGTGAGCACACTCAGGATATACCTGTCTAACCTCAGTTCTGACATTCACATACTACATTTGCATCCCTCACTTCTGCACAGGGATGTACATCCCTGTCAATGCCCAGTGCCCTTCTTCCAGCTGGGCTGCAGCTACAGCACTAAACTCCAGTGACCACAGTGACAAGCAGGGTTGTGAAGGAGGCTGCTGTCCTGTACCCCAGCTGAGTTGCTTGTACTTTTGTGTGATGCAGGGAGTCCTTTGCTTTGATACCAACATTTACAGAGAAATAAATAGACTAAATGGGAGCTGGGCTGATGAGACAGGCCAGAGTGGCATAAACAGTAATACACAGTACTGGGAGTCTGGGCACCCAGCTGGTTTTCCTCATTTGTATCACTGATTTACTGTGTTGTTTGGATAAATCCTAACAGTAGCACAGTTCCACTGCTGTGAAATGACAGGCAATAAGTATACAAGCATTATAACGGCATGTTAATTAACGCTCTTAAGCATGATCTGTATTCACCTCTTGACAGAGGAAATGTTTCAGCTGGCTCCCACATCATCTGCCTGCTGGACGCCCCAAAGTGAAGAGATTAACAGATGAAGCAATGACAAAGGGTAAATTTAAGCCACAAATCTTAGACCTAGCTGAGATTCATAATTTATTGCCCCTCCACACTGACCTACAGGGAAATCTGTGTGACACACCCACCCATTTTAACAGGGTTTCAAACACTTTTCACTATTGTTACTTTGCCAGCATGCCTCAGCTCAATGATACAATTTGCAGTTTAGATTATTACTACATGTAATTTTAGAGTTGCAAAGAAGCACCCTGGTATTAGCTAAATAAAGCACTTTGACCGCATCAAAGCTAAAGTGTTTCAAACTGTGTAAAATAAATGCAATTATAAAACTATTCAGTTTTGTTGAATCAGCCAGACAAATGTCACCCAGCACGTCATGAATATCTGACCAACAGAGCCTATAGCTGAAGACCATCTATATCTTCAGACTGAGTAAAGTATCTCAGCCACTGGACAAATGCCGCTCTCGGCTCATGTAAACAGACATGCATAACAGCTGAGACATATTACTCTGAGCTACATCTTGATCAGGTTTTATGACTGAAGGGTGTCACAAACTCTATCTGTCCCAAGCTGTCCTGAGGCTTCCCACACTGCAATAGTCACTTAAAAACTCATCACGCTGCCAAGGCATGTGGAAAGGAGCAGCATTTCTACTGAAAGGCCTGACTTGCTGGAGGATGCAGGTTTGAAGGGAGAGAGGCCCATTTAAGAAGTTCTACAGAATGCAGGCAAGGGATTATTTTTTTCTTTAATTCCTGCTTCAGATGGGTTTTATTTGCCTGAGCTGCAGCACCAGTTTCATGAACCTGTTCTTTAACATGGGATGGGATATGATTGGCAGGAGTTCACAGGGGCTGGGAAGCTGTCCCAGAGCTCAGCTACCCTTCCCAATGCATCTTTATGATTTATTTATTCTTTTATTTTTTTTTAATTTTATATTTGGGAATTCTCCTGGCTGTGGCTTCCAGCCACTGAAACTTATTTGTCTGCTAGAGACGCCACTGCTGCCAGCCCAAATCTGCCTTCCCAGGTGGGCATGGCTCTCATACTGCTCTTCTCCCAGACACATGCACATCCCCACAGGATCAGCGGGGCTGAGTGGATTTGCAGGAGATCAAAGCATGGCTGCATGTGCCTGGCCAGCCCTGGGGCTTGTGTTGTGGAAGGTCTTGCTGGGGAATCCAATATCCCCGGCTTCATGCCATATTCCTCTGCCACAGCAGCACAGCCAAGGACCGCGTCCTATTTCCCAGCTCCTCTCCTCTCGTTCCCCTTTGCTGGCCCCAAATATGGCCCCACCTCACTGTCAGGTCTCCAGACTCCTCCCCAGGATCTTCAGTGGTGGCACCAAGCATCCAGCAGACTGAGGGGGAACTAACACCCCAACAAACATTGCAACACATCGTGATATCATGGGGGGAAAAAGAGATCACAAAGCTGCCTGTAATGCTGTGGCCCTTTCTTCAACAGACAGCTATACAACACAAGCAGCCTTCCCCAGTACCCTGCAGACGATGCAGAGTTAATAGTTAACCCTTCCTGGAATCAGATGCCTTAGTGAGACACCAAGCAGGGCTTTTTCAAAATACAGCCAGAAACTAGCCTTAAAGTAGCTTGACAAGTGACTGTGTTCAGAGGATTTCACCTCTCTGAACTTTATGACTGGAAAAATACCATCTACATGTCATTTACATGTTTAAATATAGTATCTTCCATTGGGAGAAACAAACAAACTGACAATGTGATACTGTGATACCTCCTGCAGACATGCTCTTTTATCTGCTGGAAAGTTATAAAACTCAGCATAACAACAAAGCTAAAATAAGAGTGGTTGTCAGGCTCTGAGGTTGGCTGTTAGACAGAATGAAAAAATACTCTTGGAAAAGACTCCAGTTGTTTTCTTCTCCAAATCTTTTAAATGATTTATTTATTCTTTAAATTCCAAAATCTCAGAGTTTAATAGTTAAGCTCATATTCTTTCCAGGAGCTTTTTCATTTAAAGGAACAAATAAACACAGTACAGAAAGCTAAAGCAATTCCTGCACTACCCAAAGCAGAGTAACTGTCTGCTCCAAAACACGGGGAAAAGATACTATCAGCTTTCGTGTTATTTAGCTTGGGTATTTTTTTTCTCTAATGCCAAAGAGGAAAAGGGAGATATCTGAAACGGATGCCTATAATTAAACAGTAACCTGTTAGAAAGCCAAAAATAATAATAAGCTCCACTGAGCATGAAGAGAGCAGCACATTTTTTCTGCATGCAGCCCAGCTGCCACCGGATGATAGCAGAAAAGTTAACAATTACACAAGACACTCAGATCAAACCTGTGATAGGAGAGAGTTACGTCACACTCAGAAACTCACCGCTGGATGCAGGGATCAGGGTAGTACTGCAAGGTGGTGAAAGGTGGTGGTTCAAAATTCATTTCCTTCGAGCCCCTCTTTGGGCACAAACCAAAATAAAATAAATAAATAGATATAAAGCCAGCAGGCTAAATGCAATAAGGTCAAGTGGTACATGAGGTACAACTTTAGAGATTTATTTTACACTTGCGAATGGGTGGGATCTCCCAGGGGCTTGGCCAATGGGATTCATCAAGTGACCTGAGCATCACCACCAGTCCCTCCTCACCAGCTGGGCATCTTCTGCACAGATACTTTCCCCCCCTCTCAACATCCTTAATAAACTTTGTTGCACGCCAGCCACACTTGTTGTTGGGAGCTCATCTGGGGCATCTCTGAACTTCTGATCTCACCAGTCATTGGTTGCCTTCCTGCCTGACTTCACAGTTTAATTTTGGCAGCTCTTGCAATTTTACAAACTGCTGTGGCCGCTGGTCATCCTCGTCTCCAGATGGCTGGAGTTTCCTCTTCTGGGTGCAGCTCCTGTGCTGCATTTCATTGTGCTTTGAAAGCTTTCCTTGTCAGCTCTGTGGCTAGTACCTGCACAGAGTTGCCTGGGGAAATCCTCAGTTTCTCTCACACCATAGTTCAAACAGTCTGTTGTGGTCACAGTTTCAAAAGCTGAATGACAAAACATGGGGAAATTCCTCAATTAAAATTAACTCTGAACTTTTGCTCCTCTGCCTCCCCTTCCTGTCCTCCTCCCCCCAAGAAAACTTACAGTTGTCATTGTTAATGATATTCTCTATATCTTTTTCTTTTCAAAGAGAATCGAGACAATATAGAAATCTGTCATTGTTTTAGCGGTCTGTAAATAACATATACATTTTCCATATGAAAAGCAACAATATCTCAGTATCTTCAAATATCTTGAGAAAAATGTAAAAGTAAGAAGGAAATAGAAATCATATGTTTTTCAGGCCCCTAAACCTAAAGAAGCAAGAGTTAAGGGAAGCCCACCAAAATAAACTACCAAAGATGAAGACTGAATTTTCCTGAAAATAAAGGATAAAAACCAGGAAGAAAGTCTTCAGCTCCTGCCCTCCCACCCCTTTTTTTAAGTAACACAGAAAATTATTCAGGAAAGCAATCTGTTTTATCCCCGTTTTTCCCCCTGCATGGTTCATCCAAATAGTACAGGCTGTAAACCTATCCTGGTTTTGTGGGTTTGGAGAATGAATGAAATATGAATCAGGAGCTAAATTAAAATGGATTCCAGCAGGAAAAAAATAGCGTCCATGTATCTATGCACCAGTGGGTTTGCATCTTCAAGCAGATGTATGTGTTTGTGTCTACAAAGACAGGGGAAGAGGCTGCCCTACAGCTCACCTACAGTGCATCTTTCATGCCGGTGTCAGCACAAATGCCAACCTCCCAAGCAAAAGCCAGGAGCTGTCCGAGATGGCAGCAATTGCTTCTTGTTTCCCCCTCTCTGGGTTTTCCTTGTAGGAAATTTTGGTTTGAAGAATGTCATGTGGAAACATTTTCTTTGCTGCCTGTGCCAGGGTGGCAGGGGAGCTATTTCAGACTTGACATTCTCCACCCACACTCAGCCTGATAGTTCCCAACATCTGTGAATTGTGAATCCTGTAAACTCGCAGGGCTGATTCCTGGCCAAGTCCAAGCAGCTTTTGCTACAATAAGTGGCATTTGCCACGGAAGAGAGGCTGAGAGCGAAGTACGTATTTATTAACTGAAGTTCAGGTTTCTCTCACTGCTGGACACTGCTTCCCCTGCCTGGCCTGTGGAGGAGCAGTAATACGAAACACCTTCCTTCTCTTAGGCTGAGCCCTGGAGTAAACACCATGCCTTGTAGCCTGCATCATTGGAAAAGAAACGTGGAAATGTCCAAGACAGGCTGGGCTGCAGAGGGGAGAGGGGGAATCACACCAAGGCTTGTGTACAGACAATACAGCCCAGGGAACACAGCCGCAGAGCAGCTGCATCCCCTTCTGTTGCTGAGATCAGGACTGTGCTTAACCTTGTGCAGCCACCTCTCCTGAGGTGGCAAATATGTCCAGGGATTTGGCAAGGAGGGCCAGAGGCCATCGCAAACTTGTAGCCTACACTGCTAGTCTGGCTCTGGTCTAGGCTTTGGATATCCACCCTTAAGCAAAGACCCAGTGGGCATGTCCTCTCCCTGGACAAACCATTTGAGCAAGAACTTGGGTTCGTGCTCACTTGTTCCAGGACTCAGTTTCAATAGGCACCTGTGGGTATGAGTATAATCTGCTTGGCTGTGGAGATACGTGCAGGCACTAGGCTGAGCTGTGGGTACGCTGCTGAGACCTCATGTTTCCTTCTAGACACAAACCAGAAGTTTGTTGTATTTCTTCTACTATGCCCATGGTGGGACTAGCCATTACCTCTGCAGGCCTGTAGAACGGCCATTTATTCTGTGCTCTCCCAAAAGCCTGGGAGAGCTCATCTTTTCTGATGGATTTCAGCCGTAAAGGCATGAACCTCATGCAACAGAAATGCTGTGTGAAAATGGCTCTTCTTGTGAAATCCTGCTCTACCTACTTCTCCATGGAAGCTGGAGAAGGGTCTTTCCCAGCATTGCCAGAGTCCCCCAGCCAGCACATTGGAAGTAGGGGAAAGCTGGACAACTCCTATCCAGAGGCTCTTACCCACTCTCCTGCTTCCATTGTGTTGGCTCTGGCACTCTGGCTGGCCTTTACCTCCGACGGTGAGCCTGACCTCTGGTCTTCACTACCTGAGCTCTGCACAGTGTATGCTGAACACATCTAGCAACCCTGCAGTCAAAAAGAGGTAGTTAGTCTCCAGCTCACAATTCACACCAAAAGAAAAACTTCTCCTGAAAAAAAAAATGCAACTAAACCTAATTAATTTTAAAAAGAAGCACCACATAATTGTAATGAGAAATAATTGCTTGGAGCAGTGCTCTCACTCACAAGACACTGATGAGAAGGGGTGTCTAGCAAGGACATTTCCATAAAGCTTCAAAAGAAACTACCAACTGCCCAAGATCCTTAAGAGCCCTCATGCCTGGGGCTGGGCAAATGCAAATCTCTCACGGTTTGGCTCATTTTGGCAGTGCACAAAGCACCTGGCTGCTTTTCCCAGAGAGCTGGACATTTTCAGCCTCCCACAGAAATCTGGACATGCTCTGAAGTAGCTTAGAAGGCCTATGTTTTGCTTTTCCCAGCTGTAAAGCAGAGCCATGAAAACCCACTGGTGACAGTGCATTAAAACCACCTGCAAAAGCCAGCAAATCTTCTGATTTCTCTCCCCAGCCGCAGCTTCCTTCCTTCCCCATGTTCACAGCCACATTCAGCTGTGGGTTGATTCACCATAAATTTAGGCAGAAATATCTACCATTGCAGTTAGACCGTGTCAAACTCCTCTCAGCTGCAAGGCGCTCCTTTGCATAGCACAGGATGCAGTGGAAACACAAGCCACAGGGTGTGTGCGTGTGTGAATTGCCAGTACCCCATACATAGCTGGGAGGCTCTCAAGGCTCAGCAGTATTTGGCCAACCTCATTTGCACTGCCTTAAAGAAAATCTACTGGAAGATGGAGCCTGAGACACTCAAGAGCTGATGATCTCAGAAATGGTCTGAGTGGGTTCATGAGGACTAGCAAACTTTATCATGGCAGCCTGGGAGCACAAGCAAGGGGACTTCCAGTAGCAGACCTCAAGGTAGCCAACTCAAGAGGAAAAGGAGTGTGTGATATCCTCAGTGTCCACCACCCTTCCTAGGAGAGTTTCCTTGTTGGTAGCGAGGGTGATGCTAAATGGCAGCAGGCACGTGTCCTGCAGAAGCAGGGCGGAAGCCTGGGTGTCAGAGATCTGTCTGGCTAGCGGATTTACAGCCAAGCTTCTAGTGCTTGTGGTAAGCAGACGGCACGGGGATATGCAGAGGAAGCATGTGTGTAGGTGGGCAAGAATGCAGGGCATCGCTCTGCCACTGCTGCTTGCACGTCTGGGAGAGAAAAACAGCCAAAGAAACAGCTGTGGACTACTCTCCCATTACTCCTCCTTGCACCCTCTCTACAGCTTCCCCTGCAATGACCACGAGCTTATGTTTTAGCAGAGGCAAACATTTATACCCTCGGGAGGAGACTGTTGGCGATTGATAATGGTCTCACCACCACCACCACCCAAACCCAGTGCCAGTATGCGTGTGTGCCAGCCCATTCCTGAACAAGGGTGAAAGGGAAAGACAGCTTCCTGGCATTTATGTGGCTCCAGTTCTAATCTATGGGCCTGAGAACCTCTGAGCAGCTTGGAGCTGGGGAAGACAGGGAAAGGGAGATACCAGCTTTGCTCTGAGACACCTTTGCAACTGCTGGCTTCATGACTTGCCCGGATTCAGCCCCACCCTTTGCAGCAGGGGATGAAACATTTCATTCACAGCTTGGGGTTTCCAGGGGAGTGGTTGTGGTCGTTTTGGTTGGGGTTTTTTAAGTTAAAATGATTTTAAGAGCAAGAAGTCTGTGGGATATTTGGGGATTTTTTTTGTTAGAAAAAGATGATGAGAGGGAAATAATTTCCTCCCACCAGCAATAAAATGCCTTCAGCTTGGCTAACCAAGGGAACAGAAAGACACGATGTCAGTGTTCCATTGAGAACATTTTCCAATTGCAACTAAATATTACAGATGTTTGAAGATCTCAAATATATGAAGATTTTAGAAGTTTTGTGAACAGAAGAAAATAGAAGAAATAAAACTTTTCAGTAACTTCAGTGAAGGGAAAGAGGCAACAAGAGTACAACCCTCACAGGCTTTGGAAGATCTACTTGAATGCTGCAATGGTGGAAAAAGCTTCCATACCAATTCACATCTTGCTTCCAAGCAAGCCAGTCTCTGATCCCACTGCTCCAGAAGTGCCAGCTTTCTAGCTTTGGGCACATACAAGCTTTCCTCTGCCTCCCATACTGGGAAACAATGGACAGGGAAAATAGCAAACTGAAATAAATTAATAAATATAAATACCACAATTCTACACACAATCTTCCCTATTCCTCCAGCACCTTTTGTCCCTAGTGCAAGCAGAAGTCAGTAACAAATGTACTTATACCCCAGCCCCTCCATGCTGGCACTGCCAGGCATAGAGAGCTCAGGGCTGCTGGTGGGACACAAAGAGTTGCAGCTCTAGAATAGCATTGTGCAGATGAAGCTGCAATGTCTGCATCTCAGGGCATGCTTGGTCAACAGTGGCTAAGCATGGGCCCGGAACAAGTGACAACTCAGTGAGTGAACAGTCCAGCGCAATCCTAGGCACATCTAAAAAGAAGCTGACAAAGATGTTTCAATATACCACTCCCCACATCCTCCTCTTCCAGCTAAGTTTGAACATATCAGTGCTTACAACTGTGGACTTTAAAATACACACCAGATTCAATCTGCTGTCCACATGTGATACCATGCACCTCATCTTGGCCATCAGCTGTTATATAGAGCTAGAAAGAAACAAAAGGGATGTTCCAGCCCCATTCAACAGGACAACATGAACTACTTTCAGAGCTTTCTGGTTGCCTTTGGTATCTCCTCCATCATACTCGTAGTGATAGAGCATCATCCAGTCACAGTGAAGGACTGTATATCTTGATGTTTTCCTTTGTAAGTATAGTGAATAGTTTCACAAAGCACAAA